GAAGTCTTTCCATAGTGAGCCTAGCTTTATTCATTCATTCAACAAATATTTATCAGGTATGTGTTAGGTGCCAGGCACCATTCTTGACATTGAGAATGTAAGAATAGTCAATATCAACAAAGTCTCTGCATTCATGAAGCTTGTATTTTAGGGATGGGAAGAAGGTGAGGAATACAAAATAAGCAAGGTAAAATTTCCAGAAAAAGGTAAGCCCCCAAAAGAAAACTAAATAGGGTAAGAGGTTGAGAATGACAGGTGCAGAACAGTGGCTGTTTTATGTGGGGTAGTCAGTGAAGGCACTCTGAGGAGGAGACCCCTGAGTAAAGAATGGGATCATAGGAAAGAGGCATAAGAAATGAACATACACAGGCTACTTGGAACTAAAGGTACTAATGCTGCAAGAGTGTCCACTGCTGGGAGATGACTGTTGAAAATGTCTCAAATTTAAATCAGATGTATATGGATGCTTTGTTTAAGCCTGTCCCCATTTTGTCAGTAAATCTTTCATCATAAGTCCAATTTCATGATGGAATATTAGAGTAATTTAGTAGCCTCAAAATTAAATAATTTGCTCAGGTCCAATTGTTATTACCAATTGTTCTAATTTTAGCTGAGTGATCCTGGTCAGAGTGGGTATAGGTTGCAGGAAAGAGTAGCAGTAGGTGAGTGTATGTTATTCCTGGTGCGGTGGCTGATTAGCTTAAAAGAGGTCTTTACTGAAAGATCTCTGATGATCTGGAGTCATTCAGATTGTATTTGACCCAAGTTTACATGTTAAAAGCTTTAAGAAGAAATGGTTTTTCAGTCTTTGGATTCCACCTCTCATAAAGCTCTGGCGTCTGTTCATTTCTTTCCATGTCCAACACTGTTGCTCGGGTTCAGGACAACACCGTCTTTCATCTCTGTCTCCTTTCTGATTCCCTCCTGACTTATTATCTTCCCTGCAACCCGGACAATATTTGTGAGGTGAAAATTGTATCATGTCACTGTTCTTCTAAAAACTGACCAATAGGGGTGGTTATATAACTCATGATGGTGGGGGCTACACAACTGTACATGTTCGTCAAAATCCATAGAACCGGGGGCACCTGGGTGGCCCAGTGGTTGAGCATATGCCTCTGGCTCAGGTCGTGATCCCTGGGTCTTAGGATTGAGTCCTGCATTGGGTTCCCCACAGGGAGTCTGTTTCTCCCTCTGCCTATGTCTCTGCCTCTCTTTGTGTCTGTCTCATGAATAAATAAATAAAATCTTTTTTAAAAAAAATCCATAGAACTACATACTGAAAGACAGTAAAGTTTTTGTAAACCATAATTCCATAAGCCGAACTTAAAAATTCTCCAATAGGCATCGCTTTTGAAGTAAAAAATCTAACCTTTCACGGGGCAGTAGTATCATTCAGTGGTTAGATATTCCTTTGCAATCTCAATTCAAAGCCCAGACTCATCACATCACTTATTAACTGGGTAACCTTGACCAAGTCACCTACACTCTTTGTATTCATTCTACTTATTTGTCAAAATGAGATAATAATAGTACTTCTTAACTCGTCATGAGAATTAAATGAGTTAATTCCTATAAAGCACTTAGATTCTTATAAAGCAGATCCTGTTATGTAAGTGCTCATTAAATGTACAGTATTACTAACAAGCCTTATAATACCCTTCATGATTAGGCCATGTGTTAGTTTGCTAGAGTTGCCATAACAAACTATCACAAACTGGGTGGCTTAAGCAACAGAATTTTGTCTCCTGGTTCTAGAGGTTAGAAGTCTGAGACCAAGGTGCTGGCAGGGTTCGTTCCTTTTGAGACTGTGAGGGAGAATCTGTTCCTCTCTCATAGCTTCTGGTAGTTTGCTGGCCAAATTTTGGGATTCCTTGGCTTATAGATGCTCCACCTCAATCTCTGCCTTCATCTTCACATGGCCTTTTCCCTGTGCATATATCTGCCACCAAATTTCTCCCTTTTCATAAGGACACAAATCATATTCTAGGGGCCTGTCTCACTCTAATGTGACCTCATCTAACTTAACTAGTCATATCTGTAACAATTCTATTTCCAAGTAAGGTCACATTTTGAGATGTTAGCAGTTAGAACTTAAACATACATTTTCAACATAACATGATCTATAATAGGCCCTGACGTGTTTTCATATCATCTCTGTCCATAATATCTCTCCCAGAGATCTCCCACATGCACCAGTTTGATAAACTCCGACATATCTCTCAGTTAGATATTCCTAGTTTGGGAAGATCCTCCCTCATATTTTTCCAACTCACCCATTCAGTATAAGGGCCTTTCTCATGTTCTCCCATGGGCCCTGTGCTTCCATGCTCATAGCCTTTATCACTTTGCACTTTACCTGCCTGCTTACTGACCCAACTCCCTGAAACACCTCAAATCCCTCATGGACAAGGATGACTGAATATTGAGTATCAGAACCAGGATGGATCCTAAGTAAATAGCTGTTGTATTAACGAATGCTAGTATCTCTTCCCATATCCTGGGCATCACCTATTTTATGTTTCTATGGATAGATGGAAGAAAAAAGCTGCAAAAATTAGAAAGCAAATATTTTTAAGCAACATTTCAGTTAGGATTAACATGAAGATCACACACCATGCTAGGTATTTCAAATAACAGGCATTTAATACAGAGAATTGATTGCAGTTGTTGGATGGTTGCAAAAGCAAAAAGAGAATGCTAAGAAAATCCATATAAGAGTAACTGTGAGAAATAGTTACCACCTCTAAGATGGAGGGAACAGAAGGGGAATGGAAAGTTTAGCAGAAAGCAAGAGTTAGAGAGTGCCCTGCATGGGCCAAGGCTTAGATCTCAGATGGCGGCTGTGGCTCAAGCCTCTGCCCTGGAGAACACCCACAGCTGAGGCAGGGTGTGCAGAAAATTACAGAAATTGAGCTAGGATGGCCCTTTGTTGTCAGAGGGAAACATCAAGACACCCAGCAAGGAATTCTGGGCAATGCAACCTCCAGACACCCAGCCCCAGTGTCACAGGGCAGAGAGGGTAATAGGCACATAACCAGCACAAGCAAAGAACCCAATGCAAAAATTATCGAGTTCACAAAGTTAGGAAAGATTCCTGCCAATGAGTTTCCAATCCCAGCTCTGCCTCAGGTTGACTTACCCTGGGTGAGCAGCTTCCCTCCTCTGAGCTTCTGGTTCCCCATTCATGGCAGAGAGAAGGAACTAGATGGCCTCTAAGGGCCTTTGCTAGTCTGAGTGTGGATTTGACAGAAGCTACCCAGGAGCTACTGGGGATTTCTGAATGATGTTGTCACTCAGAGGACCCTATCACAGGCTTTAGCCATCAAATAAACACGACATTTCCTTTTTTTCCATTCTCCAGCTACTGTTTACATGCTCCAAAGAAGGCAGAGAAAAAAAAAAAAAACAAAGAAGGCAGAGGAAGGAAGCCAGAGGTGCCTTTCTCCAATTGGTGACTCTCTTAGACAAACCTTTGGTATGGCAATTCCAAAACAGCCAAGAAGGGGAATGTTTCACATTCAGTTAAAGGAACAGAGAGCTGAAGTGCAGAGTGTAGGGGAGGAGAGGGAGGAGCAAGTCAAGAGGAGGCAACTGAGAAGAGCCTATGCTGTAGGTGCGCATGGGCGTAAGTCTAACATGTGTCTGATTCACAGCAACAATATTTCCTCCAGTCCTCTTACATGGTCCTTGCTCTCTGCCTCCCATGGCCTTGTTGGGAGTCTAATCACAGTGCAGGGAGATTCAGTTCAAGTCTCAGCTCAGCTGCATGCCAGCTCAGAGGGTTAAAGCAAGGCATTTATTTTGGCCTCCTGTGAGCCTTAATTTGCTCACCTGCAAGTCAGCCTCCCTCTCAAGATCATAAGGATCAAAAGAGCTACGTGTTCACAAGTACTTTCTTGAGCTGGTGCCATTTGCAAGAGTGTGGTAATTTTATAAAAATGCACCAAGCATTGAATTGTGTTTCTTAAAATGTGTTAAATTTACTTAAGGTGTTTGCACTTATATGTACGTTTTATACCTCGATAAGCCAACTGTTACCTTTTGAGGGTAACAATTACCCTCAAAAAAGTAGAACTACAAGAAAGAGAAGTAAAAGGTAATTTAAATTTAGTTTGATTTATGAGCTGATGGTAGTATGCAGTAAGAAGCCACTACTTAGATAACAGATCCAGTAGTACAAGTAGCTATAGAAGGAAAACCAAGTACCCTCAATTTTATAGACAGAGCTAAAATCTGCAGGGACATCCCATCTTTCAGCCTAGCTTTGCAAAAGGAAAGCATGTTTAATGTAGGAAATTTGGGAAAGCATGGAGGAGAAAATAAAGACTGACTATAATCTCGCTCTTCCCCCACACAAAATTACATTTTCTCCCTGAATTACACATGGCTCTGGACTAAGAGGGACTGGCTGGTGAAAGTGTTCTGTATTTCTTTCCTTCTTGTCTACTTCTTAACAGACTCAGAAACTGAGAATTCTCCTATGCCAGATAGGGGTGGCAATGTAAGGACCGAGGGAAACCAGGGGGGAAGTATAACTGGTGAAACAGCTGGGATTGGCCATGCAATGCAATGATGAATAACCGCTGACCACTGGTGGGGAAAATGGGGGTCCTTAGGGAATGGTGTGAACTACGACAAACTCAAAACCTTGTGCCCCCCAGACTCCTTCGCTTCAACTCATTCTTCCATGTCTCCAATGTGGCTGGATCTCTGGTATTTTTTTCCCTTTAGTACTGTTATAGTTTTATTTTTTATCTTTGGTATCTTAATCTGTGGGGAATTAATTTTTACATCTGATATAATACAGGAGTTTAAATTAACTTCTCCCCCAAATTTTACCCATTCATTCCAACATCACTTATTCAATATTCTGTCTTTCCTCCCCTTACTGGAAATGCAAAATTGATTTTTGTATGTTGAGGTTTTATCTGCCTACTTTTTGTTTCTTTGTTTCTTTTTTGTTGAGGTATAGTTGACACACACGTTGATATTTTTTTAATATTGTATTTATTTATTTATTCATGAGAGACACAGAAAGAGAGAGGCAGAGACACAGGCAGAAGGAGAAGCAGGCTCCATGCAGGGAGCCCGATGTGGGACTCGATCCAGGGTCTCCAGGATCACGCCCTGGGCTGCAGGCGGCGCTAAACCGCTGCGCCACCGGGGCTGCCCACACATTGATATTTTTAAGAGAAGTTGAGCATCTGGAATTTTATAAGTCCCCAATTTTTAAACATTAGTGCCTCATTACTTTCAACTCTCTTGGCCAAGCTGAAGACCTCTATAGGCCAGAGGTGGCCACCAGTTTGCAACTTCTGCTAAAGACAACGAATGTAGGCAGGGTTCACTGGAAGTCTATGCAGGGATGTAACAGGAGCAGATTTGTAGTTCAGGAAATTCCTGAGGCAGCTGGTGTGAGGGAGAGAGAACATTCCAGATGAGGGATGATTGGTGCTCTAGCTGGGGCAGTGGAGAGGGAGGCTGAAAAAAGAGAGGGTGTGGTATTGCAAGAATTGATGCAGGGAAGGGCATGCTCATCGCATTGTTGCCAATAGCCCTGGGTACCCAGTGTTCAAGTCTGAGGAAGAAACTGCCTTGTTTAGAAACAGATGACCATGGAAGAGGAACCTCTTAGTATTAGAAATGCCACCTTCCAAAATAGCAGAAAGACTAAATTAGCCTCAGGTTTTAGGGCTTGAAGGTAGAGTCCTAAAGGTGATGAGACAGCAGGACCTACGGGCTGAGGAGCCTAGATCAGAAGCTGAGCATAAGGAAGAGGAATGAAGCTGAAACCAAGTCCTACACCCCAAAGGGACTAGAGATGCTCAATATGAAGAAGAAAAGGCATAAGGGAAGTGGGAGCTGACTTGCTGGCTCACTGATAGCATTTACTGAGGATCCACATGTGGCCGGGTTCCAACTGGGGCTAGTTTGGGGGGATATAGGGATAAGCCAAGGCAAATGAAATCAATGTTGTCCCTGCCCTGAGAGTCTTCTGGGAAAGATGGTGATTGCATAATCTCACGAATACATGCAAAGGTGCAAAACTGAGATAAGTGTTGGAAGGAGAGGGGCACCGTATTCTGAGGGCCCCTCTCCCCAGAGGGTGGCGACCTACACTTCCAGAGGAAATGATGATTCAGCTGAGGGATGAGTAAGCAGTAAAGATGTAAACAGGGGGAAGGAAAGGCTTTTAGGCACCGGGAACAGCATGTGCAAATACCTGACTCATAGGAAGGTCTGAGGAGGCTGGTGTGGCTAGAGCAGGGCGTAGGGGCTGGGCTGTCTTCAAAGACTGTCAGGTGAATGGAGAAGGAAGATCATTCTGTGTGGTCTGCAAATGCATCGTTCAGGGATGTTGTGATGTGCTTTTTAGTAGAGATTGATGGAGGTGTTTGGAGTTTGTTGTTTGCATTTAGTCCATTAAAATAAAAAGCTACCATTTATTCATATTTCATGTGTCTCCACTTCTATTCTACATAATTGTCTCATGGATCCACGAATAGCCTCAGTAAGCACGTGGTCCCCTTATCGCTGCTGTGTAACAAGCATCCCCTAAACCTTTGTGGCTTCAAAAACATCAATGTACGATTACCTCTTTTGACTGTGGAAGGGGCTCAGCTAGGTAGGTTTTGCTTGGAGCTTCTCATGCATCTGCAGTCCCAGGGTCCTGAGGCTGGAGTCATCCAAAGGCTGAGGCTACACTGGAATAGTTGGAAGAGAGGCAGAAGCATCTCTCTCCTCACAGCCTCTCCACCTCCCAGCCTGCTTGAGCTGCCTCTCTGCATGGCCGTCTTTGGCTCGTGTATTCAGTGGAGTTCTTCTTCCAGAGCAAGTAACTCAGGAGACACAGGCAGAAGTTGCCAGTCCTTACAAAGACTTGCTCTGGAACTGCCACAGTGTCACGTCGGCTGTAGTCGCCGGTCGCGGTAGTCACAAGTCAGACCAGATCCAAGAGGGTGAAAGATAAACGCCACCTTTTGATGGGGCAATGGCACACACAGGAGGGAAGGAAGCAAGGATGGCTGTGGTGGAGGGAAGCCATCCCAGTAATGACAATCACGGTCCCCATTTTACAGATGGAGACATCCAGGTGAAGAGAGAAACCTTCCCAGGATCACAAGACCACCAGCAAGTGGCAGAAGCAGGGTACAGATCCAGGTCAGCCTGACTCCAGAACATCCTGCATTTAATCAACCACTGGGCTGTCCCTTCAGTGTGGCAGGATGGGGCAATGGGAAGAGTCCTGGATTCCGCTGCCAGCACTGCCTCCGACTGGCTGGGTGATGTTGGGTGAGCCCCTGCCCGCCTGTGGGCCTTGGGCCCCTCCTCGGTGTAGGAATCTGGGGATCTGAGGGCCTGGGCGAGCAGGTGGGCCGCCACCGGCCCTCCCTTCCCTCAGCGCATGGGTATGTCAGCTGGGCGCCTCTGCCCTACGTCCTTCTCCTTCCCTCTTAGCAACCCTCCGGGGCTGCTGTGTTTACCAGGCTCTCCCCGACTTTCCTGTAATCAGAACCAGGAAGCAAGGCCTTAGGTCTCTCCCCTCCCGGCCTCCCCGACGCGGCCGGTTCCACTCTCTGCACTGGGAACCTCCCAGAGGCGGAGGCCAACATCTTTGTTATGCCAGACGGGGCACATCACACGCTGCTGCACTTGGCCAATAACTGCCGCGTCCATCAGGAGAGCACGTCCAACAAGAGCTCGGAGAAGCGGATCCGTGCTCTTGCTCGGTGCCAACTGCCCGACTGGCCGCCAGGCCGCAAACCCGCCGAGGCCAGGATCTCAGCCGGTCAGGGAACCAACAGTGCCGTCCGTGGCGGGCGATCAAAACATATTTGCTGGTTGCACCAGCTTTTTTTTTTTTTTTTTTAAACCCTGCCTTTCAATTCATTGTTTCCATTTTAGGATCCAGTTTATCCTCAAAAATATTTCGGTTCACTTTTCCTCTTTTGTCCATTCTAATTCCTTGATAATGCTTTTCTCTCCCTATTGGTTTTTTGTGAGTCTAATATTCCGGGCCACCCTCCCACCCCCACCCCCCAGGAACATTCTCTTTCAACTTAAGCCTTTGAAATTTCAGCTCGCCCCAGGTCTTCTCGTCTTCTTTTCAGTTTCAGCTAAAATGTAAGAATGAAAAGCTGTAAGGGAACTGAGAATCAGAACCCCTGGCCTCTGACTCAGGCCTCCCCCCCCCCATTATATTTCTCAGTTTCCCTCCTCACCGTGGATCTCAGTTTCCCCATGGGACCGTGAAAGAGCTGGACTATCAGTGGGTATCTTTTTAGCAAAGGAAGACCTGTACAACCTAATTTTACGCAGAAGCAGGAGACAGAAGGGAGTTAGGAGTGCGGCAGCCAGAGCCAGGGCCTCCCACCAGGCTCCTTGCTGTCTGAGGCTGCATTGAGGAACCCCTCGGCTCCACCGAGTTGGGCAAACCAGAGGGGCACCCCGATTCTGAGGCAGAATGATGCCTCCCCCTGCTAAGCCCCTGGACTGTCAAAAAGGGTCACATGAGCAGACACAGTCAGAGATGTGCACACACGTACATTCTAAAGAGAACCCAGGCCCCAGAAACAGCTTTGGCAAGCTTAGGCTTTTCTCATAGGGCTTCCTCATTTGTTCAAGTTTTTGCCATTTCTATTTTCATTTCTGGTTTCTTCTCACATCCTTCCTCTTCCCCCTTCAAGGAGTTACTAAAAATTCTAACAATGTCTACTTTTATATCCTGGCTGCTATCTGTTGCATGTTCTCTCCCCACCTTCACCCCTGGCCTCCATAGACAAGACTTATTATTAATATCACTCACGTTTGGTTAAATTGTATTTCAGCTTCTTCACCAGAGAAGGGTAGTCATGAGGAAGAACTCTGTGGCCATAACAGTATATTCTAGAAATCCGAGAGCAACACTTTTAAAAAAAAAAAAAAGTATTATTAAATTACACTTTCTAATAGGACACATCTCAGGATGGAGGGATGAGTAAAATAGACGAAGGGGATTAAAGTGTACACTTAGCATGATGAGCACTGAGAATTGTATAGAATTGTTGAATCACTAGATAGTACACCTGAAACTAATGTATGTTAATTACACTTAAAAAAATCATACTCATAGTGAAAAATCAAATAGAACAGATGAGTGAAAGACGAAAGTAAAAGCCTACTGTCCTGTCCTCCCCACCAGCCCCATCTCCCTGTCACTAGTCCCCTATAGTAAACACTGCTAACTTTCTGAAAGTCTTTCCAGAGTATACTTATGAAAATAAAAACTTATGCTATTTATACAGAAAGGTGATATACATACTACTTTTGTTTCAACCCTTTTCGTTTAGTATCTTAGAGACCTTTTAGAGATCTTTATCACACATATCTATCTCATTCTTTTGAACTGCAGGATAAAATCCATTGTACAGCCGTACGCATTTTTTTTAAAATTTACACAACACCCTATTGATACATATTTGTGTTGTTAAGTAGATGGCACACACTGTGGTTTATCAAATGAGGATATGTTATGCTGTTGTACAATGAGCCCTTATACTTTAAAATGTATTTTGGATATTGCTTCATACCAGCTGGTACAAAACTTCCTCTTTTTTTAAAATAATGGATTCTAGTTTTTAGAGCACTGCTAGCCTCACAGCAAAGTTGAGGAGAAGGTGCAGAGATTTCCCATACACCCCCTGCCCTACGCATATATATACCAGAGAGGTACATTTGTAGTAGTTGATGAACCTACATTGACAGATCATAATCATTCAAAGTCCATGGTTTACATTAGGCTTCATTCTTGGGGTTGCACAATCTAAAGAATTCAGGAAATGTACAATGACATATATCCACTATCATAGTATCATGCGGAGTAGTTTTCACTGCCCTAAAAATCCACTGAGCTTTGCCTCTTCATTCCTCCCTTCCCACTAACCTCTGATAATCTCTGGTCTCTTCATTCTGTCCCTAATTTTGGCTTTTCCAGGGTATCATATAGTTGGAGCCAAACAGTGTGTGTAGCCTTTTCAGATTGGCTTTTTCCACTTAGTAATACACTTTTATGTTTCTTTCATATCTTTTCTTTTTAAAATATTTTATTATATATATATATATATATATATATATATATATATATATATATATATAGAGATAGAGAGAGAGAGAGAGAGAGAGAGAGAGAGAGAGGCAGAGACACAGGCAGAGGGAGAAGCAGGCTCCATGCAGGGAACCTGATGTGGGACTTGATCCCGGGTCTCCAGGATCACGCCCTGGGCTGAACGTGGCGCTAAATCACTGAGCCACCCAGGCTGCCCTCTTTCACATCTTTTCATAGCTTAATAGCTCATTTCCTTTTAGTGCAGAATAAGATTCCATTGTCTGAATATGCAAGTTTATCCACTGGAGGACCCCTTGGTTGCTTCCAGAATATGAATAAATTGGCAATTATGAATAAAGCTGCTACATATCTGCATTTGCATAATAATCCATGTAGGTCAATACATTAATTTATGTAGCCTTATTTCCAGCTTTTATTTTCTTACTGCACTAAACAATATTATGTTAAACAGATTTTTGGTTTTTTTTATTATGCTAAACTGCAGTGACCATCCTTTTCATATATGTTGTACAGATCTGTGTGCTTAGGACAATACCTGCGTAACTGTAAAATGTGACGACCGCATATTCCTGAGTCCTGTTCCGACCCTGTTTTTTGTTTTTTGTTTCTAAGACCTTATTTATTTATTCATGAAAGATACAGAGAGAGGCAGAGACACAGGCAGAGGGAGAAGCAGGCTCCGTGCAGGGAGCCCAGTGTGGGACTTGACCCAGGACCCTGGGATCACAACCTGAGCCAAAGGCTCAACCACTGAGCCACCAGGCACCCCCTCAACCCTGGGTTTTTGTAAAGCATTAAATTTTGCCAGTGTGGTAGATCAGAAATGGTTTCTTCTTGTTTCTGGACTTTGCATGTAGATCCACTCACTTCCTCTCAGGCTCTGTGGCCCAGATGACCACCCCATATGTTCCCACAGCTTGTCACACGTCCCTCCCCCTGTGGCAGCCTGAACTCTCCTCTTGCTGAGCTCTGTCCTGTATTTTCTGACAGCAATAAACACAGTCCCTATAGGAAAGCAGCCCTTTCCTGGCAACCAGCCCCACAGTCACACACATTTGTGCATTTGATTCACCACCGGTCTGGGGGCAGAGAGGAGAAGAGTCCAAACTGCTTTACAAATGAGGAAGCAAAGACCTGGCACCAAGCAAAGAGCCATAGGGGCAGCACCATGTCACTCCCTTGCTGCCTTGGTTTCTTTCCTAATCCACCCCTCTGGCAAGGGCTGCTGGGCACGCTTCTGTGAAATGGTCTCCTTTATCCCATGGTGGGCTTTTTCCTGGACTGTGGCCTTCATGGCCTGTCCCACCCCCTTCCATGATTTCCTCCAAACCTCAACTCCTTATCCCGACATTTTGAGACTTCCAAAATACATAGCCCACATCTCACCTTACAGCTCCCCTACCCACGGGCCAGGTGGCATAACTCTTCAGGAATAATTGCTGTTTCTCAAGCACAGTTCAAAGTTTCCCACATCTTCATCCATTCACATGTTTCTTCTCCATGTGACCTGACTACCACCTGACTACCAAAGTCACGTCTATCCTCCACGCCCAGCTTATGGCCACCAACCGAATGAAACTCTGATTTATCTTCACCGTCTGTCACAAACTAACAAGACCAGGCTTCTGTCCATGCAGATCTATTTTGAACCTCTTTTATAGCCTTTATCACACACCCTGTCATATCATTATCCTCCTTATCTTCACCATGTTCCAGTAAATCCTTGAGAAGCAGCACCATGTTTAAGTGCTAACTCTGCCCCCCTAGGGCTTTCAGCAGGATCTGCCAGTAGTAACTAAGATACCTAAAACTCCCACACATATGGTTGTAACATAACACAACTGAAATAAGTTTATACAGCCTGGTATAGAATTTGCTTTTCTACCTTAGTGATAAAATACGGTGCAAGCTCCTGAGTCTACACATTTAGATCTACTTCATTCTCTTTAATGATTACCCATCATGATTATGTGTTTCCTCTGGTCTACTTAATCATTTCCCCTTTCTGAACAATTGGTTTTGTTTTGTTCTCCTTTACAAACAAAATTGAAACTAGACGTTCAGGTAAAACATCCGACATTTTAAGGAACACATTTCAAGCAAGGGAATTGCTAGATGAAAGGATATATACTTTTTACATTTTAGTAAATTCTACCAAATTACCCTCCAAACAGCTCTGTTAAATTAGTTCTTCTTTTTAAGAATCACCTTACTTTCTTGGCTAAAGACTCCTTGTTATCTGCTGCTCGCCTGCTCTTTTGGAAGTTTTCCCTAGGCCTCCTCCTCAGTGTTTACCTGGGGAGACAGAGTACCGAGCTAGTTTCCCTAGCTCTGTCACAGTATTTACTCCATTACATGGAAGTGAAGTTCATGTACCAACCTCCCTTCCCAGCATCTGAGTTTCTTAAAGGCAAGGACTTTTGTTCACTTGTTCACTTTGTAATGTTCCTCTGCTACTTTAAGAATGTCTAGGTAAATGTGTGTGTGCGTGTGTGTGTGCACATGCACACGTGTCGTGAGCACCTGCCCTCTGTATTCTGGTCTCTGTGTTGGAGGGTTGGGGACATGAAGATGAATAAAGTAATATTAGCAAACAAAATGAAGAGTAATAATAATATGGGCTAAGTGCTAGTGTGTGGGGTGACACAAAAGCAATAGAAGAAGCATCTAATCCAGTCTCATAGTTAGCAAGTCCCGCTGAAGGAAGCTGAACAAGCATGAGTGTGGGCATGTGTGTGTATGTATGCATGTGCACGTGCATATGTGTGTGTATTGGGCGTAGGGACTGGTACAGGAAGAGGGGAGAAGGCAAGGGGGTGGAATGGAAGAGCACTAGGAGTGGAGGAAGGGATGTGGGAAAAACCCAACAGCTCATGGCCAGTGACTTCCAACTTTTGACATCCTCTCTTCTCTTTTTAGAAATTGTGACCAGGATGCTTGGCCCCAAATCTTGGTCACTTGGCCTTTTTCCCATAAGCATTGGAAACTGCTGCCTCCTGACCCGAACAGTCTGGTAAAAGTCAGTGGCAAGGCTCTGACAACCAGGGCGCTTCCGCCTCTCCAGCTTGGGCATGCAGTCCTTGCACTGGCTGGGCTTCTGCATCTGAGTCCTGCGATTGTGGATCAGGGTCAGTCTTCCAATCAGACAGAACTAGGTTTGAAGCCCTTCTGCTCCTTTTACCTCTCACGTTAGCTGAGGTGGGCTGTGATTTCTTTAAACCTCCATTTTCTCATCTGTAAAATGGGGATAAATGTGTCTGCCTCATAATGTTACACAGAAATGAGAAAAGAGGAGAGGATATGTATAAGGTGCTACGTCCAGCTCCTATAATTAATACACACACGGTTAATAAGAACTGTGCCTGCTGTCTCTCAGACCCCTTGACAACCACTTGGCTTGGATGCTGTCCATCGATTCAGCCTTCTTATTTGACAGATTGAAGACCAGACTGAGACCCAGGGAAGGACAGTCACACAGAGGTATGAGGGCCAAGACAGGGGTCCTCTCCCTCTGGCCCCTGGACTTGTTTCGCTGCCCCCACAGTGCTTAGCCCAGCTGGGGTATCCGGATATCCTCTCATTGGTGCAGTGAGATCTTTCCCTCTGTGCCACCCAGCACAAGACACTGCTTTGGAGAGATAAGACCTTCCTCCTCTCCTGAACGGATCAAAGGCAATTTTCTTCCTCTGCCCTTCTTTCCTGGCCACAGCCGGCTTTATTTTCTCTCTTTATTCTCCCTTCAGCCCTGCTTCATGTCCTCCTCTGCTCCAGTTGACATTGCTTGATCCCCACATTCATTTT